CCGGATGTGGCTCCCGCAGGCGCCTCCGTGGCCTCAGGGCCCTCGCGTGCTCCTGGCGGCTCCCAGGCTGCTCACGGCCCCTTCCCCGGCAGGTGGCCCAGGAGGCCGTGGGCTTCCTGCACCGCCTGGCCAGCGCCAGCAAGGACTGCGCGGTGGCCATGTGCTGCGCGGGCGCCCCCGAGGCTCTGGGCAAAGCCCTGGACAGGCACGGTGCGGCTCTGCCCTTGGCACCAGCCCTGCGCGACCTGCTGAGCCGCTGCGAGCAGCACGCGAGCCTCTACCGGAGGCTGACGAGCAGCATCTTGGCCGGCTGCATCCAGGTGGGGCTGAGGAGGGCAGGATGGCCCTGGCCTCAGGGCCCCCGGGTGTCCTGGGCCCAGCGGGGCCTCCTGCCCCTGCCCACCCTGGGAGGGCCCAGGGTGCCCAGTAAGAGCCTGTCCCGCAGCTGGTCCTGGGGCAGATTGAGGAGCATCGCCGGAGCCTGCAGCCCATCAGCATCCCCTTCCTAGACGTCTTTCTGCGCAACCTGTGCCGAGGTGAGCGTGCCCGGGGGCAGGGGCTCTGGCACTTGTTGCCATACGGCAGCTGGCGGCTCGGTGGCTTCTCCGCGCAGGCTCCAGCGTGGAGGTGAAGGAGGACAAGTGCTGGGAGAAGGTGCAGGTCTCTTCCAATCCGCACCGTGCCAGCAAGCTCACGGATGGCAACCCCAAGAGCTACTGGGAGTCCAGCGGCAGCACTGGCTCCCACTCCATCACTGTCCACATGCAGTGCGGTGTGGTGATCAGGTGGGGCTTGTGCTGGGGCACCCTGGGGCAGGGAAGGCCGGGGGCCCATGCGAGCCCTGCCCGAGCCCCCACGGGGCGAGCTGGTCGTGCGCTGACGTAGCCGCCCCGCCGCAGGGAGATGAGCATGCTGGTGGCCAGTGAGGACTCCAGCTACATGCCCGCCCGCGTGGTGGTGCTGGGGGGAGAGAGCCCCGCGGCCATCACCACGGTGCTCAACGCGGTGAGTTGGCTTCACGCTCCCTGGCGCACGGCCGCTGGGCGCGGGTGCCGGCCACCCTGCGGCTGTGCCGAGGGCAGGGGGGTGACGGAGGTGGTGGTCCCACGTGTGGGGAGTGTGTGCGTGGCTGGTGCTGGCGCTCGGCAGTGCTGAGGGCTCGCGGCTGCTGAGGGCTTCTGCCTGCCCGCAGGTGACCGTCCTGCCCTCGGACAGCAGAGTGACGCTGCTGCAGAACATGACCCGCTTCTGGCCGGTTGTCCAGATCAGAGTGAAGCGGTGCCAGCAGGTAGAGCAGCTGGGGCAGACCCGCTGCGCGTGCTCGACTGTGGGCCCCCAGGATACCATGCAAGGAGCTGAGGTCCGTGCTCTCCCCAGGGCGGCATCGACACGCGTGTGCGAGGCATCGAGGTGCTGGGCCCCAGGCCCACGTTCTGGCCCGTCTTCAAGGAGCAGCTGTGTCGGCGGACGTTCCTCTTCTGCAGCGTGCGGGCCCACGCGTGGTGCCAGGAGATGTGCCGGGAGCGGGGGCGCCTGCTGCAGCTCTTTGGCAGGTGAGCTCTCCCCGGCAGCCCCGCGCCGCGCCTGGTGCGCGAGGGCTGCGCGGTGCCGGCAGCCCCGGGGAGCGGGACAGGCTGCAGGGTTGGGCTTGCGGGCACAGCGACTGTACGTGCACGGCGGGTTGTCCTGCTGGGGCCGGCACGTCGGCGAGGTCCAGGAATGATCTCCTGGCCAGGGCCTCCAGCCCCACGGCTTCTCACAGGGACTGCGAGCAGAGCCACAAGGGCCTGGAGTGTGAGGGGGCCTGTCTGGGGCACGAGAGGGCCCTGTGTCCTCGTGTGCGGGGAGCTACGGCCCTGTCCTGGCTGGCACAGGGCAGGAGGTGGCTGCTGTGCCCCTCGGCCGAGGAGCCCGTTGGCCGTCAGCGCGTGCCTGGCCCTGCTGTGCCCTGTGCGGTCGCTGTTGCAGGCTGAGCCGGGCCCTGCGGCACGAACAGGCCTTCGCCGAGCGCTTCCTTCCCGACGACGAGGCAGCCCAGGCCTTGGGCAGGACCTACTGGGAGGCCTCGGTGACTCCCTTGGTGCAGAGCATCACTAGCCCAGGTAGCCTGCGCTCCCCCGTGCCCTCCCTGCCCGGCAGCAGCCCAGGACAAGTGGCCTCTGAGCCTCTGACCTTGCAGACCCCAGAGGCAGCAGCGCTCTGTCCTGGCTGCTGAGTGAGTACGTGGAGAGCGGGGAGGTGCCGCGCGGGGCCCCGCGCTGCAGCGCTGCCTTCCGCTCCCACGTGCGGCGCCTGACCCAGCTGCTGGTGCACGTGGAGCCGAGCGGCGCAGAGCTGGAGGAGGCCCGAGCTGCGGGCAGCGATGGTGAGAGGTGGGCTCTGCCCTCGTGGTGCCTGAGGG